CTAGCCAGTGAAACTTTGTAAAAGCCACGACCGGCGAATATTTTTTTGGTCGACTTTCTTGATGAAAATAGTAAAGATCGTATGCGATCATTTGAGGGTGTAATAAAAGCGCAAACGGTATAAGATTAAGTCGAAAAAAGACGTTTAATTTTTTAAACTTTGATATGACATTTTCATGATATTTCTACTGCATCAGTATCCAAAGTGGTTTATAAACGTGGCTTCTCATACAGGAGAGGATCCAAACGGGACATTAAGACACATCTAGCCTTCTGTTAGTGGAGACAACTATTCTCTTGAAAATGAAGAAAGCCTTTTGTTCGAGTCTTTGCATGAGTGGGTTCCTATTTTCTTTTTCTTAACTGACTTTTCACGCTTTGGGTGTTTTTTGTTGTTGTTTGTTTTTTGGGGGTTTTTGAGGGGGGGGGGTGTTCTTTGTTGCTGTTGTTGTCTTTTTTTGTTTGGGGGGCGGAGGGGGTAGCAGCATTCTTTTCCTAATTATCTTATATCCGTGGCTATCTAGATTTGTACTTTCATAATCATGTATAGTCATTGAAAATAATTCATTGATTAATATTGTGATCACGTGTCACTTTTCAAAAAAGGAGAAACTTGTAGGCAAAAAAGAATCTAAGTGGTGGGAGTTGTATCATACTATACATGGAGTTCGTTAAGCCATAATTCTAGAATGATCTTTGATCAGAAACAGATGCTCGATTATGTCACTTTCATGCTTAGGAAGCCTTTCATAAGCTTTCATATGCAACGAACCTGTGCTGTTATGTGTAATGCATATTGACTTAGGTTGTGGGAAATTAAGAGGAAAAGAAACCCTCTTTCTGTTTCGAAAACTAACGAATACCATGCATGTTGCGTCTTCCTACCTGTGCATACCATGTGTCTCGAACCCTTCCTCGCTTTATACCGGGAGTTGATATGAACCGAATACTGACGGATGGAGAAAAACCAACTCCATTTACTTGGTACTGTTTTTCACTCTCCAACAGTCATCAGTACTGTTCGGTTACAAAAAGGTATACAATTATTCGTCATTCGCAAAATAATAATATGTAAATAACTATTGTTAACATTCTCTCTCTCTCTCTCTCTCTCTCTCTCTCTCTCTCTCTCTCTCTCTCTCTCTCTCTCTGCATAGATGTTTATAATAAATAAATCATTCGTATGAGTTTATCATGATTATTATTGTTATTACATTATGACCCTATTATTATCCTTATTATGATCATTGTTATTGCTATGTTATTATCACCGTTGTTGCTGTTATCAGAATTGTTTTGATTCTCATTATTGGTATTATTATTGTTATTAGTATTGTTATTGGCACTATTATTAGTACATGTAGTAGCATTTCTATCGTTAAGGATAAGTATCATTTTCATTGTTATTATTATTATTATTATTATTATTATTATTATTATCATTATTATTATTATTATTTTTATTTTTATTTTTATTATTATTATTGTTGTTGTTGTTGTTGTTGTTGTTGTTGTTGTTGCTGTTGTTGTTGTTATTATTATTATTATTATTATTATTATTATTATTATCATCATCATCATCATTATTGTCTTTTATCATTATTATTATTATTATTATTATCATTATTTTCATTGTTGTTTTTATTATTACTATTATTATTATTATCATTATTATCATTTCTACTACTACTACTACTACTACTACTACTACTACTACTACTACTACTACTACTACTACTACTACTACTACTTTAATTTTATAGTTATTATTATAACCACTACATGTATTTTACCATTATTATTATCATTATCATATTTTCATCATCATTATTATTATTTGTATAATTATTTTTTAAGTGGATTTTTAAAAATATTTTTTTTTTTTAATATTATTATTATCATTATTATTATTATTATTATTATTATTATTATTATTATTATTATTATTATTATTATTATTATACCACTATTCTTATTGTTATTATTGTCAATATTATTGTTGTTGTTAATGGTGGTGGTGGCAGTGGTAACAGAAGCAGCAGCCAGCAAGTCTAGTAGTATCAACACCATTGTCATAAAGGTGCAATTGTTATGATCATCGTCACAGGTTTTGTTTTTAACTTTTTTTTTCGTTACTGCTTTTTCTGCTGCAATGATCTCTAAAATTCGTATCCATTGATCAACAATAATGACATTAATACTATTCAAACATCAATAAAATAAATTCCAGTAATTGATAATGATGATCAGCACATCATAACCTGGCAACCATCAGACATATTGGATGATTGCATCAATTTCCAACAGGAATCTTCTTCCTTTGTTTCCATCCGATAGCTTTCATTTCTAGCAAATAAAAACTGCAACAAAAAAAATGCAATGAGTGAGTAGATTAAAGTGTTTAATATTACGGTTATGAATATACTGATCGACTACGGAAAAATCACATTCTTAATGTATGTCCCATGGACAAAAAGAAAAAAGAAAAAGAAAACTCGGAATTTCCAGCAAATACCATTTAAAACACCGATTAGCATTTTTATTTCAAATTCTTTAAAAAGTGGGCTTTACTACAATAAATATTACCAAAGGGATAGTATGTGCTTTGTTTAAAAAGATAAAGCCTTTCAGATTAAAATTATGGGAGGAGGATAATATGGTATAAAGTGGGAAGAATAAATATCTAAGAAAAACGGAGGAAAAAGCCACCCAAAAATGTTTTTAGTAATATGACCAAAAATTACACATTATGATTTTAAACCCATTTTATATTACGTTTAAACATAATTGATCGAAGCAGGCGCTTGGAATTTTGAGAAAAATGGTCCGAAATGCTAAAAAAAAATGCGCCATGAAAATGGAAAACACGGGAAATTGCAAAAAGCAGATGGCCTTGTTGTTAGCGTTGTTCCATAGATCTATTTGTTCTTTTCTCTTTTTCTATTACTACGGCAGCTGCTGCTTCTGTGATGTTTTTGTTGTTGTTGTTGTTGTTGTTGTTGTTGTTGTTGTTGTTGTTGTTTTACGCTTTTGCTGTATCCAGTGGAGAATATGCAAACCATGAAACGGGCCTTGGGGTTCGATTGGGCAATTAACTTTGTCCTAAACTCCAGCCAAAGACTAGAGCAGCTAGAAGTAAATACCATTTAAAACACCGATTAGCATTTTTATTTCAAATTCTTTAAAAAGTGGGCTCTACTACAATAAAGATTACCAAAGGGATATTATGTGCGTTGTTTAAACAAATAAAGCATTTCAGATTAAAAAATATGGGAGGAAGATAATGTGATATAAAGTGGGAAGAATAAATATTTAAGAAAAACGGAGGAAAAAGCTTTTTAGTTTTGTGTTTACGGCACTGCACTCGCAAACGTCAGATCCCGGGTTCCATTCGCTGCTGTTCGTCAGCAAATGTACTTAATAAACAGTTTCCTCTCCTTATCCAGCAGCAAAATTGAGTTTAGCTTTCGGTAAAGATGCAGAATAAAATGTGAAATGTCACTTCGAGTACCTAACACTAACAGGTTACAACGTCATATGCCCCCTACTCGAATGAAGATGCCGCACAAATTTGGAACACGAAAGGTAAATATTGGCAGTATCCCATTTTACGACTTTTTAGAACTTAGACGGAACTCAGAGGAATTACTTACGAGTAACATTTGTATTCCCCGTGCCTCATTTTTTATTATATTATTTTCTTGAAGATATGGTATAGTGTGGGTTTAACGCCTAAATAACGTAATTATAACGTAATGAGTTCAGCTGAGAATCAAAACTTGAACGTTCATTCCCAAAGGTGCGCTGCCAATGAACGGACGCCTTGAAAATTCGCAAGTAAGCCAAGTTTCAAAGCGCTGCGCTAAGAATTCGTTCCAGGACCATTTACAGCGTTGTTCAGCATGATTCCGACAAAGCTATCGGTACACCCTAAGAAGGGAGTACCTTGGTTACTGATTTTTAAATAATTTTTTGTTTGATTTTGGTTTAGTTATTGTTTTTCTTCTTGTTGTTGTTGTTGCTGTTGTTGTTGTTGTTGTTGTTGTTGTTGTTGTTGTTGTTGTTGTTGTTGTTGTTGATGCTGCTGCTGCTGATGATGATGATGATGAAGAAGAAGAAGAAGAAGAAGAAGAAGAAGAAGAAGAAGAAGAAGAAGAAGAAGAAGAAGAAGAAGAAGAAGAAGAAGAAGAAGAAGAAGAAGAAGAACAACAACAACAACAACAACAACAACAACAACAACAACAACGACAACAACAACAACAACAACAACAACAACAACAACAAGACCAAGAACAAAAATTTCAAGAACAAAAATAACAAGAACAATAATAACAAGATCAATATAAAAAGAACAATAATAACAAGAAGCTAACAGCATGTCCAGTTGCTGGGATGATAGACCTTAAAAAAGTTCTTTTGGAGATGGGTTAAACTATACAACGATGTCAAACCCAAGCCTAGATTGTACTAGACCTGGCCTCAGCGATCGTACGATACGAGATTTGACTGAAACAGCAAATGAGACCATTTTGATTATGGTTTTTCAAGTGACTTCTCTCTCCGAAAACAAAAGTGGAAAGACTACTTTTTTTTTTTTACCTATTGAACTATTTTCCAGAAACTGTGTCCAAAAGCAGAAGCAGCTTAGCGTATTTCTTTGAAAAAAGATCGCATCCATCATATCGTGGATATAGTCAAAGTTGACTTCACATGATAACTAGATATCATGAGGTTGCGGGTTCGGGGTTCTAGCCTCTGCTCGGTCCGACGTTATGTCCTCGGGAAAGGCACTTTACAGGAATTTCCCATTTGGCTCGGTCGTTTCTGAGATGGACGTTAAGCTCGGAGGTCCCGCCTCTTAAATAACCTTATAGTATTGATAGGGGCGTTAAACCTATACCATTTCATTTTCACCAGATATGTGTTCAGAAATGGGTCGGTCCATTAACTGTTTGTTTTTGTTTTGTTTTTTTGATCACTTCTTTTGTAAGGTAGACTAACCTGTCACTGAGATGTCCATATTTGTAAGGAGGGCAGGGAGGCACGGAGAAAAAATTGGGTAATGTCTCAAGCTCCAGCGGTGCCAGGTTCAGGGAAGACATGCCGGAGTCTCCGTGTTCTCCTCTCACGGGCGTATCAAAAAAAATGTTTGGTGGGGGTGAAGGATCTTCCGGGCCACTCCTCCACACCTCGATGTTAGCAGACGCCGCTGAGCTGTATGGTGGCTCCATGTCCGTGCTGGAAGAAAGGCATTGATTATTTTTATTGGTTGTTTTGTTGTCTTTTTTTGTTGTCTTTCTTTCTTTCTTTTTTTGTTGTTGTTGGGGAGGGGGGTTGTTGCTTTTTTGTTTTGTTTTGTTGGCACTTTTTTTTGGGGGGGGGGGGGGTTGTTTTTGTTTGTTATTGTTGTTGTTGCTGTTGATATTGTTGTTGGTATTTTTCGTTTTGATGGTGTTTTGGGGTTTTTTATGGGGGTTTTTTTTTGGGGGGGGGGGGCAACCCTTATAGTCAAGTGCTTTTTTTATAATTAGACTGTCCTGAAATGCTCTAACTTGTCTAAAACAAAAGTTTACATCGTGATAATTAAGTACGAGTTAAAACTGCCTTTTTCGTAATGGGGGTGGTTCCAGTTGAAAACAAAATTATGAGAGTAGAATTCCTTCCCGAAAAGTTTCCTTTCTTGTAGATTTGGAGGGCCCTGTGGTTTTTTTTTAATAGTGAAGGAATCAAGTAACAGATGGTGCTTGTATAGCCTTAACAAAGCACAGGGAGTATAATATAGTGTACTAACAGTTGGTCATAACCAGGAAAATGTGCTTGTGTAGCTTAGATAAGGTTGAAGAATAAAAGCTCGCGACATGTATGATCGTACTATTTAAACTTTTTTTTTTTTTTTGGGTTTTTTGTTAAGTTTTGTTTCCTTATGTTGTTTGTTTGTTGTTGTTGTTTTGGGGTTGGGTTGTTGTTGGTTTTTTTGTTTGGGTTTTTTTTGGTGGGGGGTACGTTTTGAAAATAAAATTTTGTTTTAGTTTTGTTTTAGTTTTTAAAGTAGGCATCTGAAAAAATACTTATCAAAGTAATTGTAAATAAGAGCACCACTCGTTCTGATATCATGCTAAGGTGTTTTGACTATGATCTCGTTTTCACTATTGACCCCCCCCCCCCCCCCCCCCCCCTTTCTCCCTTTTTTTCGTATGACAATGAAAGTGTACTTCCCACTACACCCCACTGACCAAAACATTTGGCTAAGATTATACAAAGCCTCAAAAAAGGGCGAAACATATCAATTTCAACAGTTAAAAGATTGTTTTTCTCTAACCTCAACAATGCTGTAGTGACAACGTGGAAATTAGAAAGCAAATCAAGATTAAGTCAAGAGTTTAAATAATATTTTTGTCCCTTCAAAATCGATACTTTTTCATGGAGGTAACGTATGAGGTGATCAGATGCCTAGCAGGTTGCCTCCATAATACGGTTAGGTCTGTTACATTATATGAAAACTTTCATGCAGATAAGAGAACGCCATGATGAAAAGTTTGGGAAAATTAGGAGATAGCTTGAAATAGAAAGCGAGAGACAGAAAAAAGAGGGTGGAAGAGAGAGGGGAAGACAGACAAACTGACAGACAGAGGGGAAAGATGGTCAGTTCTTTACAAGGGCTCTAACAACATAAGAACGACCCCAGAGCAAAGGTAATCAGGGAAATCACAGGTAGATAGGTGAATCTGGGAATTTTAAGCGGTTAAAAAAAATGTTGTTCTTTGCTTCAAGTCGTAAAGTACCTCCTTTGTAAAATACTCTTTTGTATTAAAGAGAACGCAAAACTCAGTCAATTTAACCCACAGAGTTAAGATTGTAGTTTGTTGAGTTAGCAATGATTACTAATAATCACATGAGAATGATTTAAAAGTGGACAAAAATGTTGCAAGTGTGGATAAGTTTTCTAGCATATCATGTATGTGGGTGTAAACCCACGGCAAATTCTACCTGAAGAATGGACACTGTTTAAAATTTTGTTTGCCGGCGATCGTTTATGTCCGTGAATGTCATAAGAAAAAAAAAGTCTTGGCTTTAATGAGTGATTCACAGTACCTTCCAACGTTGGTGTTCTGCCAGCGTGATTTTGCTTGACTCTTCCCTTATACACCTAACACGAAAAGATAATAGAGCGATACACACTTGCCAAACAAAACTTACAAATCCTCTTTTCTGACGTTAGCATACTTATTACTAATATCTATCTATCTATCTATCTATCTATCTATCTATCTATCTATCTATCTATCTATCTATCTGTCTGTCTGTCTGTCTGTCTGTCTGTCTGTCTGTCTGTCTGTCTGTCTGTCTGTCTGTCTGTCTGTCTGTCTGTCTGTCTGTCTCCTGCTTTTAGGTTACTTTATTCATTTTAACTTTGTTTTTAAGCCCCACATGCTCAAGGTTGTTTGTCAAGAAGTGGTTTAACAGAATGGTCAGCGGGCGCAAAGTATGTTCTACCAAAGATAAATTACAATCGTTATTATTATCATCATCATCATCATCATCATCATCATCATCATCATCATCATCATCATCATCATCATCATCATCATCATCATTATTATTATTATTATTATTATTATTATTATTATTATTATTATTATTATTATTATTATTATCTCTACTACTATAGATACCATTATTATCATTATCATCACCATCATCAAGTTGCACGATACACCTACGTAAATATTCACTTCCGCTTTTAAAAAAATGTTATTACTTTAACAGCTGGAGCTTTTAATTTTAAAAAAAACAACTGTTCTGAGTACTTACTGGAAGGTACATAATTATTATTGTAAATGGGTTGATTAGGGATATTTATCATTGTAACGTAAAGCCAGGATTTCACTCTCTGGATGGGTGGATGCGTCAGTCAGTCAGTCAGTCAGTCTGTCTGTCAGACATTTTTTTGTTTTTGTTTTTGTTTTGTTTTGTTGTTGTTTTTGTACCCTGCCCAATTCTTTCATCTGGCGCTTTTGTGTTTAGTAATAACAACCAACTGTGCAACATTTTGGGTTTTGAAATTAGCGGTTAGTCTTAGAGTAAACACACAGGAAATTGTTTTACATATAATAAATACATGAGTAAATAGGTAAAACAAAATAGGTTTCTTCACTCTTATAAGGTTATTTTAGTAAGTTACTCATCTAAGTGTTGCCATAGCCCCAACTTGTCAGACAGTTAGTGAAGGAATGGAATACACATATCGGCACTATTTATTAGATCGTTTAGCCTGTTACAACCCTGCCTGTGGAGACCAACCCGGGCTGAGATCTGAGGGATGCAACGTCCCAGCAGAAAGACGGAAACACTCGATGAAAATTCTCCCCACACGAGAATCGAACGCGTATTTTCTGCGTGTGATAGCAAAACGCCTGGCTGCTACACCACAGCTGCCAATGTGAAGGAGTGAGTATGTCAGTGGGTGAATGAATGGGTTAATAGGTGAGTGAGTGAGTGAGTGAGTGAGTGAGTGAGTGAGTGAGTGAGTGAGTGAGTGAGTGAGTGAGTGAGTGAGTTACTCGATGAGTGAGTGAATGAGTGAATGAGTGAGTGAGTGAGTGAGTGAGTGAGTGAGTGAGTGAGTGAGTGAGTGAGTGAGTGAGTGAGTGATTGAGTGAGTGAGTGAGTGAGTGACTGAAGGAATATAAGCATGGGATAATGAATGAATAGGATAGCAAGGCTGTCAGATTTTGCTGCAGATCATTAGATGGTAACTGACTTACTGATTAACTGACTTATTTACTGATGAATTAATTGACCAATTGACTGCTAGACTGATTGACAGACTGACTGACAGGCTGATTGATTGATTTACTTCTTTGCTTGCTTGCTTCCTTGCTCACTCACTCACTCACTCACTCACTCACTCACTCACTCACTCACTCACTCACTCACTCACTCTCTTATTGACTGACTGGCTGACTGACTGATTGACTGACTGACTTACTTCTTTACTTACTTACTTACTTACTTACTTACTTACTC